TTCTGAGAAACTAACGATATTTTATAAAGGTTGACGAAAGTAAATCGCGGTCGGGGAATCCAAATCCGAAATCAGATTTGAAAAATTTTGAAGTTGACTTTTTTTAGGTCAAGGAAAGGGTTTTCTGAGAAACTAACGATATTGTATAAAGGTTGACGAAAGTAAATCGCGGTCGAGGAATCCGAATCCGAAATCAGATTTCAAAAATTTTGAAGTCGACTTCTTTTGGCTCAAGAAAAAGGCTTTCTGAGAAAATAATGATGTGACAGCTCATCTACTCAAATATTCAATGGCATTGTCATTCGGAAACAACCTAACACAATATATAGTATTATAATTAACAGGGGTTTAAAAATGAAACACGTAGACAAACACCGGAAACTATTGTTTTTCCAATTTATTCTCAGTATAAATGAATCGAACTCATATCTGAATGTAAGAGTAGAAACAAAGATTACAGAATTCAAAGGATCAATATGACCGGTTTCGTCCTTTCTCAAGGGATTCGTCAGAGAGCTTTATTAATTCTATAATTACATAAGTTAGTATAATTTAGAACTCAAGAATTGAAATTCAGAGCATCGTACGACGCGTTTCGTCCTTGCTTAATGGCTTCATCAGGTATGTTTACAATCTATTGTTACATAAGTCTAAAATTCTCCAAATTAATGAAATAGTGACAGTTAGTGTGGGATGTGAATTAGAAAAACCTCCGAATCACTGCAACAGTTTTTTTCTGTTTTGATAGGAGTTCTTCGGGTGGCATCTTAATATTATATCAACTTAGAAATGTAATTCTTAGTATAAATAAAACCATTTGATCTACCGTCAAATTGTGTGATATTTTATATGTAGAAGGGTGTGTAATAGTTACCACGATAACTTGAAGTTATTTCGATATTTCTGACTTAATCTTATCAAGTGGCCTAAGTACTAGTAGAAAAGATCCAAAAACGATAATTTTTTGAATCACTACTTAATACTTCTAGTCTACTAAGTAGTAGTTACCACGATAACCTTAGGATTATTTCGATGTTACTGACTCAATCTTTTCAAGTGGCCTAAGTACTAGTGTAGTTGATCTAAACATAAGTTCAAATCATCACATATTACTAAAGCAATACCACGACCGGTTTCGACCTTGCTCAAGGGTCTCCTCAGGTGGCTTAAGACATCTTAATCGATTACAATAAGAATCAATTAAAACATCTTCTACACTGTCCTATGAAAGCTCAATTTTTTGAAGGAAGTGTAGAAATAAAAGAAACTGAGGTATCAAATTTAGTTAAGCAATACCACGACCGGTTTCGACCTTGCTCAAGGGTCCCCTCAGGTGGCTTAAGACATCTTAATCGATTACGTAAATCAATTAAAATATCTTCTATACTGTCGTATGAAATTAAGTATTAGAGTAATGAAGTTGAAAGGATCAAACGACGCGTTTCGGCTGTTGCTGACCCAGTCTTCATCAGGTATGTTTAGAACTTATTGTTACATAGCAAGTCCGAAATCCCTCCATTAATGAGGTACTTAAGACTATCCATAACAAGTCGCAGCAATTCTTTATCTTTATTTAAAATTATAGAATATTTAATTTGTGAGATGGAAGCATCACACGATAGGTTTCGCCCTTTGTTTAAGAGATTCCATAGGCTCCTTAATTATATATTGCAGATATAGCTGTATTCTCAGTATTTAGTTTTGCATTCTTCTGTAGAAGATTATGTTATACACGAATTCGGATAAACATTTAAAGGTAAACGTTTATGTAGCAATTATAAGAACACTAAAAATAAACATTGAGTTACAATATCGAGAGATATGGTTGAAATTTGCAACACTCTTCCTGTAATGGCCTGAATCGTTGATGGTATCTCATCCTCAAGTTTTTAATCACATTTTTAAATTAAAGGTAAGATACTAATCATCTTTTACTATGTCATGGATTTGTTTTTTTTTCTTTTGTCATTAGAAATACTTTCCATTTAATAATCCTCATGTATAATATCAACATACATTTTTATTCCGATAACTTTGGTGACCCTATTAGAATGATATCTATTTTCGAATAGATATTATGTATATTGTACTGATTCTCTTATGAAATCATTACACTGTTACTACCCACTTGATAATCTTTCATCTGTAAAAGTGAAATACATTTGATTTGTGATAACTTGTCTCCCTCATTGTCACCCTTTGAATTTGGAATCATACATTTCTTGTTGTGAGTCTTTCATTATTAAGATTTCCCACTATCTCATGCAGTTAGGATTCCAAGCATACGTGGTGGTGATCCTTTAGCAAAGGATTGAAACGCACCATATGATGCTTTGAATCTTTTCGTTAAGAACTCACCTCACCCTACTTATTATTATAAAACACTTATTCCAGAAAGAAATCAATTTAGGCTTGACTAAGTCGATTGCTGCGAAGCAAACATTGAAACTAGCACATTGATTTGTATCTGAGCTTTGAAGTCGGTGCATTTTCGATCGATTTTTGTCTTTTACTGGATCGACCGTAAGATGATATATGAATCATGTTACTCTGAACAATAAGCTGTTCTTGCTGCTTTATTGATCAAATTAGAAGGAAAATTCAACACCAACATTAATCAGAAAAACTTAGGAGATTTCAGCGTCCATCATTGGTATAACAAATGATTTCATAATTTTAACCGATCGTGGGCCCAATTTCCGAAAGGAGTGCGTTCATCTCGTCGAGAGCTAAAAATATAAATGATATATATAAATTCTGAGCAACTAGCAATGTTTAGCTATTTTTGATGTAATCTAAATTTTATTGTCTTATTTTAATCCTTTTCTCTAATCTATCTTTCTTTTAAAACCTAAATGTTTAATGTGTATCATCGAATAAACCCTCTGACAAGTAAAGCAATAGTTCCGATTAACAATGCGGATGCAATCGAATTGATTTTTTGCGAGATTCTCATTAAAGTATGAACATGATATATCTAGTTATGCGCATGTGAGGCGCAAAAATTGGAAAAAAACTTACAACAAGCACTTGTATCGATATCGTATCGTGTGACAGAAATGCCGTCCATAGCATATAGATTGCCGTTTCGATCAAAATGGATAACACGTGGCACATCAAAATTTTTGCTCGTTAAGATACTACCTTTGGTGTCACCAGCAGTCCAACGAACAATTCGTTTGTTTCCAGCATCCATGATGTAAAGTGTACCTTTGCTATCAACAATGACAGATGTAGGTTGGTTCAAATGACCGAGATCGGAGCTTGCCCAAGCTTGCCCACCAGCAATAACGTTTGCGTCATCTAGGCCTGGTGTGTATTTAAGAATACGATTATTCGGAGTATCAGCAACATAGAGATTTCCGTTTCGTGATAAAAACATATTGCTCTTGGTTTTTGGTGGTTTTCCACCAGCAGCTTTCATGAGTAACTCAGTTCGATTCTCAACAGGAAACCATTTGAATATTTCATTTTTGTCAGTTGAAAACAATATTTCACCATTTTGATCAGTAAATAATTTATAACAAGCAATATTGCTGATAACAGTCTCACCGTAATTAGCATTTTGGGACCAGCGTTGAATACGCTTATTTCCCTCGTCACAAATGATTAGATCGTTGGTGGTAGTCAAAAGAACACTTGTCGGGTTATTAAGTTGCTCTCTTGCAAGTCCAGCACCTCGTCCACCAGCCAATAACTCGCCTTGGGTTGCATTCGGAGACCTATTATAAAAATTAAAATCCTTTGTCCTTAAAGTAAAATGGAAAGAACATTGTCTCAAATACCCCATTCTCGTATATTTATTATTCGAAAAATTAGAATACAAAATTGAAAGGGTCACCATATTTGAGCATTACTTCGATAAGTATTCCCATATTGAGACCCTATTGGCCCTAATAATTGAATGGTTACTGTAGAATTGTAGATCTACTTATTATTATATTTCCGATCAACTTCTACCTTTGGTTGGAAAAAAAAGGTTAGATCAATTAATTTGTGCTTTTCTCCATAGGAAACGAGAAGATGCAAGAATTTATAGCATAGCAAAATCTCACAATAAATGCCTCTTTGCAAAGTCTACGTCAATTTCTTCATTTTTAACCACGAATCTTTCGCTTCTAGAATCTAGTAAAATTTGTTTATGATTGACATATTGTTCATAGTTTTGCAGAACTTTAAAAAATTATTGAAGTGATATTAAGTTCAACAGATGTGAAACATGAATAAAAAGGCTTGTATTTCAATCATATATTTTGCGAAGCAATTTAGCAATTTATAATTCTAACGCTTATAACATTGAGTTTTTTTCATCAACTTTGAAATGATCTTACATTGTTGACTAAGAAATTCAACTGACTTATATAAAAAAAAAACTTTGACGGGTAGTTAGAAAATTAAATATAAATACAATTAGTAATTTACATTTAGAAAACAGAGTGAATGCTTATTTGAATCAATGATAAAAATTTTGAGGATAATGTACTCACCATTTGACTATTCGATGGTTGTATGTATCAGCGATATATATGTTTCGGTTGCTATCGACGATGAAATCCTCTGGCACACTCAACTGAAACAACTCAAATCCAAAACTTCCACCTGCCACCGTTTGGCCATTTTTCCAGTTTGCACTATTACAAATTAGGATCTCAGATTCTGGCTCTATATAAAAAGAATACACATGGAAGAGTGTAATGAAAACGGCTTTCTGAACAACGCTGATCGATAAAGACAAACTGTTAAGTATGTCAATAATAATTATACAGAAAGTAATTTACGTAAATCCATAACCAAATGTAGCCTTTTGTTTTTCTACTTCGCACAATTATTTTCTTACTTGGACCTCTTACATGCTGTCTATGTAGCTGTTACTAGTGACCTTGATTTAATAACTATCGTGGACTAATGTTGGGCAATACTTGTCAATTAATAATAATAAAAACCTATAGAAAATTGCCACTGACGAAGTGTTTATATCTACAGTTCCACTTTTTTCTGTACTCCTGTTTTAACCCACCCTTCATTCTTCCTAAATAGAATTAAATTTGTATAATTTCTTCTGTTTTAATGTTAATCCTTTATCAATTCTAGCAAAAATCAGAAAATAGAGCGACTATGTAGAAGAATCGTATCTTATGACTTTAGTCGTAACAAATAATCTTGATTCTCGATTTTTTTTTGCATGGTATTATTTAATTAGCCTTGATATTCATACAACTTTTATCGAAGCTTTATTTTAATTTGACGATAGAATTTTTATTTCATAAGAGTATCTATGTTAGCTTTTCTCTTTTTTTTAAGAAGATACCACTAATATTCAATGAAATTATGAAAAGCTACTCCGTAGTTGTCGCGTACAGATTTGAAGTCAAATGAAATTCTAACTTATTACAACTAAACTAAGATTTTTGTACCAGAAGAAACAGAGGCGTCAGTGGGATCTGAATTACTGTTGATTTGGGTTATTCCCAGTGTTTCGACGTTTAATATCTACGCTTACATTAAAGTTAAACAATGCGCAGTCTTTTGGAATGCATAATTAGTAACGGAAAAACAACAGACCTATAGTAACCGTGTGGTTTGCTGGGGGCTTCGGTGGACAGATCGCTGAATTTGCCAAAGCGATTGGATAGCACACAGGTCGATCGCTGCATCGTTGTTCTTGAACACAGATGGTTTCTGGTTGGTTGCAAGTTTTGCGATCTTTCTCACATGGAGTGAGTATCGAACATGATATCTGGTTTGATGCGCACATGCCATCGCTAAGCAACGCCACTCCTCCATTTGCATTTACGCTGTGGCATACACAGTCGGGATTTATCGAGCATCCTGGTCGATTGAAACCGGCTAGCAGTGGACTACATTTAGATCCAGGAGGCGGTGCAGTTAATTGAGCTAGAGAGAAAAATCAGTGAAAGTTAAAAAGAAAACTTTTCACAGTGTTAACATGTTCTATACCGAAGATTACTTGAGACCAAATACTGTAAAATAAAAAACAGATGAGTAAGTGTATATCGATAAGAAAATAGATATACGTACATGCTCAGCATAAGTGTAGACACTGTATGTTGGATCATCATGTATTGTTTTCAATCTTGAATGAAAAACAAGCTGTTTAGTTTTAGCACTTAAATATTTAATGATAAAATCAATTTACTTCGTCTAGCATGGTTCGTAGTCTCGTATATAGACATTCAAGCAGCTTTTCATTTTCCCATGTTTCATCGATTTTCGTGTAAAGCCATTTATTTGTGATAACTGTAATATTACAGACTGAAACGTATTGTTCTTTAAATCATGATTACAAAAAAAAAAATTTATCTTCGAATCGCGATCATGTAATAAGTTTTTTTTTAAACCATGATTTCGAGATAAGTTTTTCTTATTTTCACGACCTCGAAATATGTAGGCAGACACATGTTGTACTTCTCATCATCAGTGTAAATATAAGACAAGTAACCACGCAGCAGCATACAATGAAAAACAGAATAAAAAGTAAACCTGTGATACAAATCAATATGAGTTGTGAGATAAATTACCACTATATTTTCAGAAAATATTTCGATTTTGTTTAAGGATGTGTGAAGGTATGATAAATTACCATTTAAATTAGAACTCAAAGGCTCGAAATTCAAAGCTTCACACTATCCGGATTTCGACCTTGCTTAAGGGTCCTCGTCGGGTATCTTTACAATCTATAGTAGATATAGATAGAACTCTCCAAAATACTGAAGTAGTAATAGATAAGACCGTACTACAAAAGATCCTATTCGCATATAGTCTTCTAGATTGAGAGCAGCACACGCCGAGTTTCGTCCTTGCTGAAGGAACTCTACCGGCATGTTTAAGTAGAAAGATTCTTATAAAAGAATCGATCAATAAGCTAGCAAGACCGGTTTCGATAAGTGGTATGAGCTTAAACTTATCAATTGCTTTTTGATTATAAGATGCTATAGAAAATAACTCTCTTGGCTGCAAGTGTTATAGTTAGAAGTTTTATGAGAAAAAACTTCCAAGCTAATACCACTCATAAAAGTCTATTATCGGGTAGAATGCATAGTAGCAAGTACCCAACAAATTAATGAAGAGATTCTCCAACAATTGGCTGTGATTATATAGGAATAATAATCAAATTCAGCTAGCAAAGACTGGTTTCGATAAGTGCGATGAGCTTCAACTTATCAATTGCTTTTTGATTATAAGATGTTATCATATATATATATAATTTCTTCTACTATGAATTACTATACTTAAGAGTTATATAAGGATAACTTCCAAGCTAACAATAATCATATAAGACTAATATGAAACAGTTTTCAAAGAAAACTTCCAATATTATGTAGAGGAGAGTCTCTAGAAAATGGGTATGGTTTAGAAGAATCGCCGTTCCACGGGAACGCTGTTTCTATCTTGGCTGGACTTCGTCAAGTGGATCACTGAATATTATATCAATATGGGAATGTAATTCTAAATTAGAGGATAGATACATATGTATTACATTATGATAGATACAATAATTATTAGAAGACATTTGCACATATAAAATTTTCAAATAGAATTAACTTAAACTAAAGACTTACTCGACTCTAGTAGTCAATATCTTTCTCGGAATGCCAAGATCAGGATTTCATCACCCCGAAGAGTGAATCGTCAGTTGGCTTTGACTCTGTCGTATTTGTTTGAATGATTCAAAAGAATCACAACGAAATACATTTATCTATACAGAACTTCAAACAGGGGAATTAATCTAAAGATTTGAAGACGATAGATATCGACAAAAGAGACTTAATTATAGAAGATTTTTGGCTTGAGAGCATCACGCGACTAGTTCCGTCCTTGCTTCAGGGTCTCTATGGGCACGTTTAGAATTTATTATTACATAGTAGAATCAAACCTCGATCAGTTAACCTGAAAAGTCGAGACCCAATTCGTAATAATTCCTATATAACATTTCAATATATACAAGATAACAGATTCAATTCAAAGCACTACATGACTAGATTCATCCTTGCTTAACGGACTCTACTGACATGTTTACAATCTATAAGTACATATATCCAAGTCTCTTCTATACTGAAGAAGTAACAGATAAGTCCGTACTAAAATTCAAATAGTCAGATTCAATTATTATTAACATCTTTTTGGATTGAAAGCATTATAGGACGCATTTCACGACTTCTGAAGACATCGATTCGGTAGTTGGGATAGACTTCTGTACAGTAAAAGTAAATTTAGGGTTTTTTGAGATACTTTTTCAAAGCTTTATTAAAGTTATTGTAGAAAACTGAGTCTTTGAAATTACTATTTGTTGTAATTTCTAGTTAAATCTTCGAAATGTTCTGAATGGCCTTTTCAATTTGCGCTTTACGTGATGGAGTCTTATGTTGAAGCTGGTGGTAGTTTTTATT